AAACCCGAATCTGGATGAGCCAATAGATTTTCCATTTATGTTTTTTTGAAAATTTGGCCAATGGACGAAAAACGGATCGTTTAAACAATATAGACGGGTCATAAAATTCCCGAATCAATTACGCAGCAGGTCAGTCAGTTCTTTTATTGAATTGTTTCTAATAAACGTTTATGGAAAATGTTTAATAGCAAGTTCAAGGGAATCTCCGTAAACAAGTAGTTGGGTCATAACTCAGTAATCCACTAATGAAGGACTGTTTCAGTAACTTCATTGCCTGAATAGTTTCACTGGTGAATTAAGACCTAACGTAGGTGGCTAATAATAGCCCAAACATATTCACTTTGTGTGTATGACGTATAATTGAACAGTTTCTGAAGCGAATTGAATTTTGCTGCTTAAAACAGCATCCTAATCAAGTTTTCTACCCACTGCTGGATGAAGGTTCTCCAAGACTTTGTTGCAGACCCACTTTTCTGTGATTCTTATCCATTTTATCAAGCGAACTTCTTCAGCTCATTTTGGCGTTCACCTGGAAGTCTTCCAACGGGCTGCTGACTCTCTTGTGAAACCATGTTTAATGTCTACTGGGCCGATTCTTCTTGCAACATATCCTTTCAATCGTAATTTCAATTTCTTTGTTCCTGCAGTGGCATCGCAGCCTCTTGCTTGTGCTTCTACCCACTAGGTCCTCTTACAATCTTTTCTTGCTATTCCTAAGATGAATCTTTTCACGATGTGTTGCGTAGACTGAAGTTAATTAATAGTTTTCATGTATAAGGTCCACGTGGCGCATCAATGCGTTAATACCGGCAACACAAATTGATATTAAAGATTTCGTTTCAAGCACAAGAACAGTCTCCCGGATAAGAACTCTTTCAGATTTCCAAAAGTACACTATGTCACATTTATTCTTCTCATTTCTAATATGGGTTCTCTAGTTCTTATTTCTCATCTCTCTAGTGGGTTCTCTGTTGCAAAGCTGAGCTGACTCAGAGGTAATTTTGTCTCTACAAGCCCAATTTCATCGACTTCAACAGATCATTTTCAGTCGTATTTTGATGCTGTAGTCCTTGAGCTTTTGGATTTCTTCTACAGGCCGTGAAAGTATTAGAGTGCAGTCCGCAAACCGCAGGTAGCTAAACTAGTGCCGCAATGGTTAAGCATTGATTTTTTCAAGACAGCGTTGTGAAAACCCCTTCTATGGCTGCTGTCATAACTTCGGTGATATTGCGCTTCCCTGTGGAACGCCCTTTCCGACTTTTGAACTCGCTTGTGCTTTCGTGAAACTTCACACTATTAGTTACAATTTTGCAAATCACTGCGGAGGTCATTGTGTCTTTCTTCAATTGCCGAGCTCCTCAAGGAATGCAGTACAGATTTAATGTAGATGGAGTCAAAAATCCAGAAATCGATTAACCCTGGGCAAAGAAGCTGATATTTGTTGCTTCCGTGAATTACTTGTTGTACCACCTGAACATGATCCATCGTATCAAATCAGCTTCTAAATCCCGCTTACTCCTTTGGTTCTGTAGCGTCCAGTAAGTCTGGAAACCTATTCTCTAGCACCTTCGTGAAGATCTTGGAATGATCGTAACAAAATGACAGGCATGAAGATTTTCAAATTCTCTGTCACTGCTTTTTTTGGGAGTAGAATTACTAATGCAGTAGTCCAATCGTCTGAAATTTTTAGTTCTTTCAGAAAGCATGAAAATAAGCTGGCTGATATCTCGGCTAATGATTCATCGTCTGATTCCACACCTCCAATGTGATGCCGTCTTCTGCATGAGTTCTTCCTCGTTTCACCTCTTTCATTGCATATTGTAGTTATTCTGGCATGACATCTGAAATTTCGTCAAGTACATCTGTAACTTCAGATTCCTCATCATCACTAAAGGTGCTGCAATTTTCATCTTTGCACAGTTTTCAACAGAAATATTCGCCTCTTCCCTATCCCCCTCCCCGCCATCCATCATAGTTCCGTCGTTTATTTTGAGGCGTAAACACTGCCGTCCATTCCTGAATCAATTTCAGCACGCTTCGACTGTTCTCAGTAGTTTCCAAAGATCTGCAGCAAAATGCTCGAACATTTTTTGTGTTTCATTATAGTTCTGCAAAGTTCCACACGTTCGATCCCTGATTTCCGATACATTGCAGCCTGTCTTTATTTCTTTACGTTCGTTCATGAGTTCTTTCGTGTTCTTCGGGATTTTTCGGTCGACCTTAATTACCCCTGTTCCAGAGGTTCTCTTTTCTGCAAAGTTCTATACGTGTGCATGGCATCGATATTTGATGTCGCAAAATTGCAGAGCGACTGAAATTTGGACTGTGAGGCAGCCATTGTGCGACTGCTACGCATAGGGTTGTGTTTTAAAGAGTGGCAGCGTACATTTCTCAACTGAATGGATTAAACGATTTACAAATATTTTAAGGAATACCCCAATGAAGCTGGATACAAGACACAGAGCCTGATACATTAGCTTGAAGTCAGTTTTGCTCATGCTTGAAAAATCTATGCACTACTCTTGTTACTG